TGGATCTTATGTTTGCGCTGGGCTGATATTTCCCAAGGTGGTAGTAAAGGCTCTGAGAAGTCCTGTAGTAAAGAAACCTCTGTCACTTTACTTAATCCAGAGATTCTCATATATATCTGACCACAGAAGCCTTTTAGCACATCTATTAATGCCCTGTGGAAATGGCTTAGGCATAAACATATAAACTCTTGAGACTGCTTGGAAGGGATAACCTCAACTTATTGATGGATCTAGATAGACTATTCAAAGCAGAACTATTGATCACATATTTGGGATAAAAAAAATCTAAAGCTGCCTTATTGGCCTGTTGGGATTATTTTTAGATCTGCATAAGCATAGACGCTTGTGTCTCCATAGACTATGTATAAATATGCATTTCATTGCGAGGTTAGAAGATGGGGGGGGAGAAGGAGGAATATTCCCTTCTATAAAAAAACAACTGGTGTTCTGTAGAACAAGGGGGATGTTTATAAATTTTAAGGCATTATTGCCCTCTTCCTACCGCTGGCAGCCTCTGTTCGATGCTTCCTATAAAGCTAAACACACCTGGATTCCTTGTCTCACTGAATGCTCTGACAATTGGACATAATACACGTTCTCCTCAAGCTCCCAGAGCCCAGCCCCTCCCAACCAATCCAGCCCCTAAAGTTCTTTCACTGAAGCCCATCGGTTGTATTCCTTTATATTATTTTGGCTGATGAGTTAAGTAATTCAGAAAATAGTTGTTTTTTTTTTCCCAGTGTTGCAATCTAATTTTCATTTGTAGAACATGCTTGAAACCTTCTAAAGAATAGCCTTAGAAACCCAGCCTGTTTAAAAAAAAAAGTACAATTATATATATTTTTTAATTGTTACAAAGTTAAAGGAGTCGTTTTTAAATTATTTTAAATCAAATATAAGGTTGTTTTCTGAAACAGAACTTTAGCCATGGCGTTTTTTTTTTTTTTTAATTGTCACATATAGGGTGATTTTAAAGTAAATAAGAGCACAAGGTTCATATTATTTTAAATGTATATTGTATTTGTCTTCTCAACACTGTGGTTTTTAGGTCTGTGAATAGCATCATAGTATGGAACCAGCCTATTAAGCAGCCTGTTTGGGTAAGGAAACCCGGAGACCAGCACAATGTTGTATTACTCACTGTGTCCTTCCAATATGGTTAGAATTCCACAACCTAAATGATCATTTGTTGAACAAATTCATGCTTTTATTAGTCAAAATACAGAGAAAACAGAGCCTCCCTGTTTCAAGATATTTGCTAATGCATGGTTAATTATCACATATAGCTTACTATAATTCATTTTACAGGGGAGACCTCCTGCAGGTAACATACTAGCAGTTTATGAACCAAAATAACCTCACTATAGATTAGAGCTGTTCCAGGGCCGGTCAGACAGTTGGTGCTTCTAGACCTTCTCACTTCACATTGCTAATTCGAACAAGGCTTTATTTTTATATTTGTCAGCAGCAAGACTGTAGGATGGTTGTTAAACTTCTCCCAGGCCTAATTAGAACAGCAATGCTCGCATTCATAATGAAGCTCGTGTCTTGCTTGCTCGGAGTTAGTGAGAGGGTTGTTACAGTAGCTTCCTGGCAGCCCTGTCGCTGGCAGTTTTAAGGTAGCTAGTGGCTGCAATATTAAGTGACTGTTGAAATTCATTGACTCCACCACGGCTAATGTGTCTAGATGACAACAAGTTTACACGGTTCTTTTATAGTTACAGCAAATGGGTCCATTTAAATATTTATTAGGTGATTATGGTGATGTGAAATGGAAAAAAAAAAGCAAAGTGCAATATCGCAAGGATGGCTGTTTTTAACTGTTTATGTGGGGCTGGGATCATGGTATCACTCAAAATCGCCGCATCTTTCCCTTATAAATATTTATACTAGATCAGCCGTGATGAATGCTAATTTATTTGCATCTTGTTTCTTTGTTGATTTCTCCCTGGGCAGAGGGTAGCTGCGCAACTTGCGTTGGTTTCCAGGGTTGGAGGATATTTCAATTGACCGACCGATTGGCGTTTTGATGAGCCCAGGGAAAGTTCTCTTTGCTGAGACTGAAGAGTCCTTTTTGCTGTGGAGATGCAGCCAGAGAAGAGTATTCAGGCAGTTCTCTCCTGGAGTTGATGTGCAAGCTGGCAAGCAATTTTGTCTGCAAAAGACCGCTGCTCTGCATAGCAACTTGTCAAACGTTGGTTGGAGTTGGGTGAGGCTGGCTGCTCTGGGTGTTTGTCTGATGTCTAACTCAATTTTTTTCTTGCTCTGTGAGCCATTTAAACTTTGCAAAAGAAGAAGAGCCTCTCCATCAAATTGAATAGAGCATCTGAGGCAGAGAGAGGAGAAGTTAAAATGAGCCCAGCTCTGTTCTAGAAAGGTTAGATCTACACGATACTAAAGAACTCAAGAGTCTTTCAGAGGAAACTGCCAAAAAAAATTGCAGACAGATAAAGGACAGGAGGAAGTTTTCACTTTACAAATAAATATTTTGACCACATAGGTGACTAGAGTGTCAGGTTGTGATTCCTGATTCATCGTCCATAATGCTTTTTGTTCCCTGTGTCTGTCTCTTAAAACAAGTAGCATCTGTATGGCTTGGACAGCTGTAAATGTACAATTTTCAGGAGGTTTCTAGAAATGGCTTTGAAGTAGCCCAATGCTACATTTAGGATGTCTTGGAGATCTGAGAATTGTCCAAATAAAATTTTGCATGCATGTATAGCAAGTTCAGAGATTCACTGTATCAGTCTCTGAAGCTACCATAGGCACTTCAGTTAGATAAAATCTTTATCTCTGACTCTAGCTGTGTATCTCTTTCCACAATGTACTTGCCTCTCATTAGAGCTTGACCTTACAGTTGGACTCCAATCTTGGACCCATTCAGAGGGCATTAATTACCAGAGTCCAGAACTACCTCGTTATATGATCAATAGTATGTCCCTCCAGGACAGGCATGTAGCAAGAGTTCACTGTAGTGGTTTTTTTTTTTAACAAAGTCAGAGGATTTAAAAAGCCACAGAATTAAGTGGGAAGCTCACTGTTAAAACACTATGCTAAAGTGAATACAACTCTAATGATGCTAATTATTTTCCTCAAATGAAAGAGTCTTCGAAATCTAAGAATGCAAATCTGTGGTCCTCAGATTAAAAAACATAATCAAGGATCCTTTCAGTGCATGAGATTCTCAGCATTAGTTACTATCCTCGGTCAAGCTATTTGCAAGTCACCCATGAGAGGCATTTTATCATTGCGCTTTAGTCTGAATCTTCGGGAATGTGGAGGTGCCGTGAAGAGTGTGCTCATGCAGTGCAAATGAAAATCCACATCTTGGTCCAGTTTTGTTATTCTTAATATATAGATTTCTCTCTCTCTCTCTTTTTTTTTGTTGTTGTCCACACAAAGAGGAAACGTTGACTCTCCCCATTTCATACATGAGAAAACATGAAGCTAAAGCAACTTTAGTGTTTTCTGAAGTTCTCAGGGTAGATTCCCACCCATTCCCTATAGAAGGGATTTGAAAAACATACCCAGACAATGGACAGCTGTGTTCATAGGCACAGCCCTGAGTGCCCCCCTGCTTTGCAGGTAGATTCTTGTAACTTAAAAATTCTACTGAAATGAGTTTTTCTAGTGCATTTCATAAAAGATTCAATCTGCCAGTATTTTGTTTTACTCACAAGTCTTCAATTTTATAAAGCAATTTTATATAGGTTTTTCTAAAATCAGAACATATTAATATACCATAGGTGGAGTTGGTCTTGCTAATTCAGAATTGTTTGCTTTAGAATCACTATATCAGTGTAAGGGCCTGGCACAGAATGGGAAGTGGTATTTCCATGTATGAGATGGTTAGAAGAGAGTCATCTGAGCTTACCTTCCAGGATCCAGGAAAGCAAAACTCTCCATGACATCTGCTGGGAGAAGATAAAGAAAAGATCAGCTCATTTTTGTCATGTCATTAAGTGATATCTTGAGTTGGCTGGTTAATTTTTCTCAGGTGAAAAAATAGGAAATGTCCTTTTTCCAACTACATGGGATCATAGATAATTGCTGAGTTTCCTAACTTGCCTGTGTGCGGTGACCCCCAAAGTAACTAATGCCACATTTAAATTAAAATCAACTTCACCATGGATGACTTCAAACAAAAGCTTAAAACCTTCATTGCAATTTCTTCTCCTGGGATGTTTTCCTTTGTTCTGTTCTACTGAAAATTGACCACCTTAGGGATGACTAACAAAGCATATTTGTTCTCAGCCTTGATGGTCCTTGGGCTGTGCATGTCTGAGGGTGTGTATGTGTGCACACGTGTGCACGTCTCTGCGTGCCCTCCCAGGTGCATCCAGATCTGAGCCTCTCTAGACAACACAGCATTGCTATGTGTTCCAGTACCATGCACCTGAGTCTGGATCCATCAGCATCCTGCTCCCTTTGGCTCTCAAGCCTTGTCAGTGTAGATCCTTGAATCTCTTGTCCTGGCTGAACTGAACAGTAAAAGAATTGTAGCTAGGAAATGAAAGAATGAATGTTGCTATAGCTACCCGCAGCTATTAGCTGTAGGATATTAGATTCTATTTAAAGTTATTTTATAGAGTATTATAAATTACTAGAGTATAAAACTTTATGTCCTAATATAAGGAGATGTCACTTCCTTCAGTCCCATCTCAGTCAACCGTTACACAAAATATGTCTTCTGTAGAAATTGGTGTGATTATTTTTATCTTCTGATGTGTGGTCTAAATGGACTCCTGGGGTAAGTTGTGAGTTGGAAAGTGAGTAGGGTTGGTGCTTCCTGGAGAGTGAGCCCTGGGGTCATTCATTCATGGGGACAAGGTGGAGCCTCAGACCAGAGAACAGAGCTTCCTGTGGAGAGACACAAAAGGAGCAAATCATTTGCTCAATCCATATTCACAAAATCAGTTATTGAAAAGGTAGATAAAGACCCTAAGTATATAGATTATTTTTAGGAGAACAAGAATGAGAAGGAGATTTACTTGCCTCAGCACCCATGCTTGAAAGCAATTGTTTCCTGAGACTCAGAGATGCTTTTTGTTCTTGAAGTTGCAAAGTGAATCACATGATTAGAACCCTCTAACCTTGAGGATCTATTTTGTATTTCTCTTTCCGTCGAGGTTCTTGATTAAAAATTCTTTTTGCTCTATAGTCAAACTTCAGTGCCTTCTGAAAACAAAGGAAAAAAATCTGAAGGTCACCTAGTTATGTGCCAGCTTATTAGGCAATGAGCATAACAGTTATCAAAAAATAACTCAGGAAGGAAGCAATCACATAGAAAAATATGCTGAAGATGTGAATAGAAATAAATAGAGATCAAAAGTTATATGAATGAGAAGAAAAGAGAAAACTATACAGATTCTTTTGGTAGTGCATGCTATAAGAAATTTTTTTAAAGGCATCATCTTTTGCTGTCAGAACACTAAAAATATTAGTGGAACCACTATTGGGTGAAGTTTGGACTATCTCCTCCACACCTGTGTATGGACAGGTGGTCAGAAGACCACAGTAGGGAACATATGACAACATGCCAGAGCCCCTTGTGTTTACTACCAGCCCTGATAAACCCTTCTAGAAATTTCCAGTGATTCACTACTCTATTTCACTGCTCTCTCTGAGGACAGATGGTGGGATCAGTCCCCAGAGAACTTCAGGTTCCGGGTGGAAAATTATCAAGGGGCTTTCAGGACACAAGTGATATTTTCAGCTCTTCTTCCAGCTGAAGGTCACGACTTTGGAAAAGAGGGTGGCTAAGGGATATGACAGCTGAAGATGGTGCTGAAGAAAATACGTTATTTTCCTGGACTATGGCCTGTGATACTAGAACAGAGGGCCTTGGCTAGGATCTGGGCACACTTCACAGAGACTGGGAAGAATGTGTTTGGCAGACAACTCTGAGCTGAACAACAGAATTGAAATAAGACTTTTGTCAGAGGGGCACAGGGATGTCCAAATAAATTGCAAAACAGGATTATATGGAAAATGCCATGTCTGACATGGTAAGAAGCAGCAATTCAAGGGCAGAAGTTCCTAGCATTTCTTTGGCAATGACAAGTGACTTCTATATGACAAATCTACATTTATATACCAAACCTCAACCGATAGGCAATTGAATTTGAGATGTCAAGAAATGTAGTGAAGCCTATAGATAGACTAAATAACAAATTGACCATTGGAGGAAACGTTAAAAAAATTAACTTTATTCAAGTAAATATATTTAAATGTGAAAATTTTGTGACCAGAATTCTTGCCTTGGCTAAGCCACCAAAGAACAGAATTCTTTTGCTCTAAGAGTAGTTATTCTTGATAAATCCAGATCCCCTTACCTGAGATCTACCACAACTGTGCCCAAAAAGGGAACCAGACCATTTATTCAAGAAATGCATAGGTGTTTTAGATGTCTCTGCTCTCCAAGAAGTTACAATCTGGTAGGGAAGAGAGATGTGAAAATGAAAAATCTTAAAATCCATCAGAATGGAAATGTATTTATAGGGATCATCGAGGTGTAAACAAAAATCCTGGAGGTTGAGAAAAGAATGGGTTCTCCAACAAAATACTACGTGGTTAACCCTTTGAATATAGACTGTGGAGGTTTATGGCTGAGTTTATTTCCCTAGGGGAACTGACTCTATAAAACACAAACCCTTAAAAACATAGATGGATGTATGTTTCAACAGGATCAGTGTGGGCCCTTCTGAAATTTCTCATGAGGCAGTGTCTGTCCAGAGCTTTCCTTGTGTTACTACCAGCCCTGATAAACCCTTCTAGAAACTGGAAATTTCTAGAAGGTAAATTGGAAATTTTCCATTTCAAGTCTTTATTGCATGATGCTAGCTTGTGGTTGGTACTGATTACTTGTTTTAATCATTTTTTTAACCCCAGTTAGAGGACATAGGTGCCATGTTGCCTATCAAAGACAAAAAAAGGAGAGGAATTTAGGCCTGTGTAGCGTGCATTCATATACTGGTACAAACCTAGAGATGTGGGAGAGGAAGGAAATCATTTCAATTTCAACAAAGGGAAAATGAATCCTAAGCTCTGTTTTGGTGGCATTATACCATAGGCTACCTAGTCAGATATTGTTTGAAAAATGACATTTTTTAAAGAAAGATTATTATAAGAATTATTTTTTAATCAAATCTGTATTAAAAATACAGAGGTGATCTTAGTATAATAAGGGACCAGATCCCTCCATAAATTTACCAGAAATCTAAGTCCATTAAAACTGGAATATCCCACATTTTCCTCATTTACAATTCCATCTTTTACAAAGTAGAGGAAAAAATAGAAGAAAAGTGTCTTTATATTTAATGTAAATTGTCAAGCAATGTTAATGGGAATTCAGGGAAAGCCATCTCAGAGAGGTTAAAGCTACAAGGAGGGTTTCTGAACCTGTGTCCAGATTCAAGAAATTCAGAGAACAGATACAAGTGAGTTTACAGTTAGAAGACTTGAGTGTGTGGGAATTTCTAAGTTTGAAGAATGTCGATAGTTCACACGCTGGTTGTTCAGTTGAAAATAATCCCGGTGATAACAAAAGAGGAAGGCAGCCTAGAAAACCTCTGTGGATGAAAAAGGGCCCAAGGGAGGGCTTTCTGCATTTCAACATCAAAAGAACCCATTTCAAAAATTCATTTGAATCAGAAGATACAAAATTAGTGCCATTTATTTGCTGGTTGTTGGGAAAACTAAAAACCAGAATAAAGTAAACCATGGGTAAAATCCTCATGTCACCAAAGCCCATCACAGTACTCATACAAAGTAGACATTTAATAAATAGTTGTCATTTCTGAATAAAGGGAAAAGGCAGCACATTTGACTTGTATTGCTATCAGATTTTAGAAAGATAGAAAAGCTAGCTTCATACCCAAGAGAACAGGAGAAACAATATGGAGAAGTGAATTAATGTAAAGATTGAGTGAGAACAATTAGGCACCCATTAAGTTCAAGTTTTAAGGGTTTAAAATTCCAGTTGCTGAAAACAAATCTCCTCCTCCTTTGAGGAGGAGATGATTTGAGATGATTCAATGAAAACGAGACTTCTCAGAAAACTAGGATCAAGAGCTACCCAAATCTGCTAAAATTTAACTCCTCGAATGATTTTTTAAAATTAAAATCCTTAGCAAAATTCTAGAAAAGATGATTACAAGATAACTGTAGTTTCAATTATTTTAAAGAGTAATCACCAAAACAAATCATGGCATCGTAACTTTATCTTTGCGCTAAACTTTACTCTCTTGATAAAGTGAGAGAGCACCCCAAAACAAGCACATATCAATCAACAAAGTCTCCCCAAAGGATTCACAACTGATTGAATAATCACCATCAATTATTGCAATAGCCTGGGGGAAATTTTGTAGCATTAGAACCCAGGGCTCTACCCTGGGCCATGACCTACTCTATTTGTTGCTGAATCCATTTTTATCAGCAGTCTTTGAATGTGAGCCCATGTTATTTTCTCATCTTGCCAGACATCTAGATGGAGACAAGTGAACAGAAGATGGACGGTTTAAAACCATTCTAGATTAGGGATTGTTGACAGCACAGGCAACCCTCAGCTTAGAGAAGTAAGAAAAGAACCACTTCACTTTTCGGATGCTCAGAAGTCGCCATGTGCTTTTCTTGCCTCACTCCTCAGTGTCCATTACTTGATGGCAGCATTACTGACTCACCCTTGCTTTTTGGTAGCATCTGCCCTTGATTTCTACAGTGCTACACTATCCTAGTTTCATGTCTTCTGAAGTCCCCTTACTCTATTTCTTTATTAACAAAGTCACTTCCTCTGGCAACTTGATGGGGGACAAAGTTCATTCTTTAACCTCTGCCTTTCTAATCATCTTCCCTCAAGGTGCTCATCTCCATTCACCTCTGTACTAGCGATTCCTCACTCTGTAAGGCTGAACCTGTGATACTTTCCTAAGCTCAATTTCCACTGATGCAATTGCCTCCATAAATGATTTATTTAGAAATCTGACAATTATCTAAACTCAGAATGTCTAAAACATGACTGAATTTGTAAAACCCCAGCTTCATCTTGACTTCTTATTCTATCACCACCACATTTGAGGTCAAAACTTGAGAGAGAAACCTTAGACTTACCATACCCTTTCTCTGTAGGCACTTGATCATCAGATTGTGTCAGTCCCTCACTTACAGATTCTTTTTTTTTTTTTTTTTTTTTTAAATAGAGGCATGTTTTTATTTATTTATTTGTTTGTTTTGTTTATACATGCACTGGGTACAGTCAGAAGCGCGGGAGGGTGAGAGAATTCACCAGAGCCAGAGCGGGGAGCAGAACAGGCAGAAGGACCGAAGTACACTGCTGAGGGGAGCAGCGGGCGGCAGGAGAGGTCTGCGCGCCATGTGGGACCCTCCTCCGGTGGCCGGGGAGCAGCCGGGGATCGAACCGGCGCCGCAGAGGCCGCGGGCAGCTTCGCAAGCCAGCGCTCAACCGCTGCGCCACCGGGGAGGCCCGACAGATTCTTTTGAATACATTCATTCATTTCCATTTCCAGAGCAAAGCCCTAACCCGAGTATTGGCTAAATCATCACACTGTTTGTTAACTTGTTTCTCTACCTTCCTTTCCAATATCTCCTGTGTAAGACCAACCTTCCTAAAGTAAGGAGGGCACATCATGCATTCCCTTGTCACCGATGACCTGCTATTATACCTACTGAAAGGTCTTCTTACCTTTCAAATACTAACCTACCTTCAAAGTCCACCCTAAGTTCTTTTTTCCTCCCATTAAGTTTTTTTTTTTTTGGTAAATTTTTTTTTAAGATTTATTTATTTATTTATACAAGCACTGGGTACAGTCAAAAGCGCGGGAGGGCGAGAGAATTCACCAGAGCCAGGGCGGGGAGCAGAGCAGGCAGAAGGACCGAAGTACACTGCTGAGGGGAGCAGCGGGCGGCAGGAGAGGTCTGCGCGCCATGTGGGACCCTCCTCCAGTGGCCGGGGAGCAGCCGGGGATCGAACCGGCGCCGCAGAGGCCGCGGGCAGCTTCGCAACCCAGCGCTCAACGGCTGCGCCACCGGGGAGGCCCTCTCCCATTAAGTTTTAAATCCAAGATCTTCTGTTTATTAGCTGTGTCACCTTGGGCGGGCTGCTTAATCTTTCTGTTTTGGCTTCCTCATCTAAACAAAGCCACTGTATGCTAAGAATACTTACCTCCTAGGGCTGTGAGAATTAAGTGTGTTAGCTTCAGTTAGAGGCCTCAATACTCAGTGTTACATAAGACAATCAACATTTGTATATTCTTTTGTCATCCCAAATTAGAAGTTATCTCTTCCTCCTCATTATTACTATATTACAGATAGAACCCTTAATCTGCTCCACTTACTAAATTATTTGATTTCTTCACATGAAATGTCTGTTAGTTACCCACAGATTAAAAGCTTGTTGGGAGGCAAAGCTTCATCATGTATTTCTTTGTACATCCACAATCCCTACTGTTGGCCTCACCTACCTGGGGTAAGCAAGTAATGATTATACCTTAATCTGCTCTTCATTTTCCATAAACGATCCCCTGCGTTGTACAATTTCCAAGGCACCATTTTAACTGGATTTCTAGGTCTGGCCTCACCGATCATCTCCTAATCGTTCATTTGTATGACACAACCCACCTCTCCTGTTGGCCATCTCTGAGTGCTACATTTATCAGGGACAGTGGGTCTTGGCAGGCAGACAAACAACACATTCTATAGACAAAGACCCTGAAAGCCAATCTTGCCAGTACAATTCCTGTAGTTGCTGAGAGCCATGAAATTGGTTTTCAAGCCTCTAATATGGAATACCATAGGGCCTTTAAGAGAAGTAGTTGAGGATCTGGGACTGCTAGGTTATTTTCCCTCTTTTTTGTTTTTGCTTTTGGAGGTCATGTGCTTGACATTTGACTCTAAAAGGATCTGGGATGCCAGGGCTGTCACATAAAGAATGGTCCAGCAAAAAGAGTGAAGTTTTGGATTGAAATGGTGTGAATGTTTCAACAGATCTTCTAAAGACCATCCAGAGCCACACATAAATAATGAGTTTGGAAAGGCAACAGGAATGCTTGGGATGTGGCCTGCTGAATTAGCCATGTAGTGTTCTTGGAGAGGTGGGCTATTACAGATAAAGGACCATTTGGAAAACATTTATCAGGGTGTGGTGGGGGAAAGATTTCTTTGGGTAAGTGGTTCTAGTGAGATTTGTTTTTCCAAACATGATCCGCAGCCTGGTTCTACAATCTCCACTTAGAACGATCAGAGTAGAGGGACTGGATGTCCACAAATCCATGAACTATTGAACACCAAAGGGAGCTCTGATGACTTTATCCAAAAACCATTACCACCTCCATGTCACATGTATAAGATCTCCCCCTTTGAGTCTGAGTTTATGGTCTAGGCAGCTTCATGAGAGTCAAAGACAAAGCTGCAGAGATGC